AACTCTCGGGTTTTTCTTGAAATTAAAATCTTTCCTGCGAACCAAGGGCATTCGCGGAAGCACAGAGTAGTGGTTAGAGTGTCAAAAATGTGCGCTGAATTATAACAGTTCGAATCACACTTTGGGTTCTGATTAGGCCCATGTGAGGCAGTCCAGACCAGACTGGATTAGAATGCCTTTTGGGAAGCAAGGCTTTATGCAATTCGATGGAGACCTGAGGTCTAGTTATAGCATTGTGGAAAAATTTATATACCAGTCCTTAATCACTTTAAACGAAATTGGGTGAAAGCGTCTCATTCCTCAGATCCACTTTCGGTTTCGAAACTCTACTCACAAAACTAAAATATTTAACTAATTATCCCTTCTAGACTTTATTCTCCTCGTTATTATCTTCCAGCTTCCGAACAACCACGTCGTGGCACCTTTATCAACTCGCTGGCGGCCAACATGAACTATACAATCCGCGTACGGGCCGGCAATCAGTACGGCCTGGGAGAGCCGTCCCCGCCGAGCATCTCGTTCACGACATTGCCAATGCCGCCAACCAAGACCGTGCGGAATGTGACCGGTGGTGGTGGCAAACATGGCACTCTGGTAGTCCACTGGGAGCCAATGTCCCCCACCGACTACAATGGGGCAGGCTTTCTATATCGCGTGTTCTGGCGCGCCAAGGGCGCTGTCGAGGATGACAAGTTGAATGTAGCACAACCTAAACAACTGGACGGTGGCAAGCGCCTGGAGACCACCATCACACTGGGCGAGAATCAGTACTTTAAGCCGTTCGAGGTGCGGGTACAGGCGGTCAACCAGGAAGTGAGTTTAAAGGGCATAACCGAATCAGTCGGGCAGGATGCAGGCGTTTGTGGAGCGAAATGCTGAGATTCTTGAGGTTCTTTTTAATGAGAGATTCTAGAGGTCATGGAAGCGAGGAAGGAGTCAAGGCCGTGAAATAGGTTTCACTTCGACCGAATGGGCTAAAACATGCAAATGAACTATCACAGGCTGTTTTTATCGTACAGAACGTGGGTCGCCTTAGAATCCTCAAGGTTCAACAGGACTGAAAGTTGATTTTCTTTCAATGAAATAGGTATCGGGCCCTTAGATACCAGTGAATTATATCTGGACTGCAGTTTCCTCTGATTGCCCTAGGCCTCTTGAAGGGGTTTGAGTTCGGTTTGCTCGCATCAAATGCCATGGCCACGAGTCACAGTGAGCCGCATGACAAGTGTGACTGTATTTTTTTAGTGTAACCAGCAATACTACCTTATTTGTCGTTTGTAAGTAAGGTTTAGAAACTTCCAGTAAATCAGCTATATGAGATTTTTTCAGTCTATTTCATTTAAGGTCTTGAAGGATTGGTAATTGAATTTTCTCACGTTTCCACTGAATTTCACATAGCCTTGCTTTCTAAAAGGTATTCTCATCCAAGATGGATTATACACTACTCTGTCATGGCTCGAGTTACGTTGGGGTGCCGATAAGTTGCAAATTGCTGTTCATTCCTCCCTAGATAAGAATACCTTTTTGGAAAACTAACCCATGTGAAATTGATTGGAAGTGTAAGGTCTACGCATATGATTATGGGAAAATTTAACTGCCGGTCCTTAATCACCTTTATGAAATAGGGTGAACGCTTCTCATAATACTACTTTAATCTTAATGAGTAAGTCTAGAAGATATCAGTATATATTGGATGAAACAAGGATATTGCTTCGAAAGGTATATCTGCTCTGTAACCGATTGGCACACATGGCTGTATGTCGAAGTTATTAAATTGCGATGGGCCACGATCTGGTGTTGATGCTGATTTGACCCACGATTGGTAGAATCTGGAGTGGATTCAGCATGAGGAAACCTCTTGAAAAATGCAATGGCAGTGTGCGGCTTCTTAGTTCACCATGGAACGGTCATCCATCATTCCTACATTAGCCAGAACGACTTATGGTGTCTCATGTACTTAGTCGAGATCAACTGGGGGTTTCGAAACACACTTACTTATTATATCTAATCAAACAGGAGGCAAACTTCGTCCAGAGCTTGCCAACTTGGAACCTTCTTCGAGGTACGTGGTATTCGTTGTAAAGTTAGCAAACGCTGACAAGCTTGAATATGCAGATAATTGTTATGGTAGTGCTCACAGTCGATTTGTTGGGAAAGGCAAACAAATTTCAAAACCAACTTGATGGTAAAGCATCAGTCTACTTACAATTCTTTGAATTAAGTATTGTTTTCGTGACTACCAGTAAATCAGTAATATGATATGTTTTAACCCAATTTCGTTTAAGGTGATAAAAAACTGGTATAAGAAGAATTTTCCCACAATGATATGAGTTGAGTTAATGTCTCCATTAAATTCCACATAGCCATGCTTCCCCAAATGTTGTTCTCATCCAGCGTAGACTGCGGTTTCGGCCTTTCATCGGTCTTATCAACACCCTCATCGGGAGTCGAACCGCGACAGTACAGGATGGAAGCTTGACAA